CGCCCACCCACGCTCACCTACCCGCCCACCCACGCTCACCTACCCGCCCACCCACGCTCACCTACTTGCCCACCCACGCTCACCTACCCGCCCACCCACGCCTCACCTACCCGCCCACCCACGCTCACCTACCCGCCCACCCACGCTCACTCACTCACCCACCCACGCTCACCTACCCGCCCACCCACGCTCACCTACCCGCCCACCCACGCTCACCTACCCGCCCACCCACGCTCACCTACCCGCCCACCCACGCTCACTCACTCACCCACCCACGCTCACCTGCCCACCCACGCTCACCTACCCGCCCACCCACGCTCACCTACCCGTCCACCCACGCTCCCTCGCCCGCCCACCAACCAAAGCTCACCCATGCTCACCCCCCCCCCCCCCCACCCACCAACGCTCACCAATGCTCACCACCCCCCCACCCACCAAAGCTCACCCACGCTCACCCCCCCCCCCCACCCACCAACGCTCACCCACCAACGCTCACCAATGCTCACCACCCTCCCCCACCCACCAACGCTCACCTACGCTCACCCCCCCCCCCACCCACCAACGATCACCCACCAACGCTCACCCACGCTCACCACCCCCCCACCCACCAACGCTCGCTCACCAACGCCCACCCACGCTCACCCACCCACGCTCACCCACCCATGCTCACCACCCACCCTCACCCACCCTCACCTTGCTCAGGGGCCCCTTGAGCTTCTTGAGACAGAGCGCAAGCAGCTCACGTGACTCCAGCGCACAGTGCACCCACGTGCCGGGCGGCTGCAGGTAGCTGCGGGCCGCACACAGACAGAGGCCTTCCTTCAGCACGGGGCCTTCAGCACGAGGCCTTCAGCACGAGGCCTTCAGCACGAGGCCTTCAGCACGGGGCCTTCAGCACGAGGCCTTCAGCACGAGGCCTTCAGCACGAGGCCTTCATCACGAGGCCTTCGGCACGAGGCCTTCAGCACGAGGCCTTCAGCACCGTTTGTCACTCATTTCCCAACGTCTTGTGTCTCTTCTCACAATTCTAGTTCCTAGAATCAACCCACCCGCGCCTGCAACATGGCTTCATCCCAGAGGTCGCAATCGGGTACCCGATACCCGTACCCTACCCGTACCCAGCCGGGTACAGGTAGGGTACGGGTACGGCCGGGTACGGGTACCCATTTGCGACCCTGGTGCGGCCAGGTACGGGTACGGGTAAGGAATCAAAACCCGTTTGCGACCTCTGGTTCGGAGCAGCCAGCTTTTCAAACAATCGCGGGCAGCTCGAACGCGGATGTGTACCCGGGGCGGGTCGGAGTGAGGTCCCGAGCGTTGGCTCAGAGTCTCAGCGATATTCACGAACTCACCGCTCGCATTGCTTGCAGAAGTAGACGGAGCCCTGCTTGGGGATCCCCTCGGTGATGTCCACCTGGGTGCGCAGGCAGGAGACGCAGGTGTTGGCGGCGTTGGGCGCGATGGGCACCCCGCACTGGCAACACAGGCTGCGGCGCACAGACACGCACGCACGCACACGCGCTCAGCTTCTCTCGCACCGCACGTAGCTAAATCTGGAGGTGCGTCGACAACAAACTGAACACGACAACAACAACAGCCGCACCTAGTTTACACAACAAAGGCTCATTCCTAATAGCGGCTTCAGCCGCACCGAACCTCACAAAAATAATATTCAGGGACTACCTTGGCTCCTCCCACCCTCAACCAGTATATATACAAATACTGTGTTCTTTGTATTTCTCTCACTTGATACAGCTATCGTGCTGTGACTGCTCCACCTGAAGACGGAAGCTTGTGTTCCCTCCGAAACGTCGTGATTTTTAAATCCTTTATATTAAGTTCACTTGCTTGCTTAGGACCGTGCAAATCTTTCGGTCTTTTTTAACCCACTTCACGTGATCCAATCGAGCTGACATTTTGCACACAGACTCGTTGTGCGTGACAATTTATTTTCGTGAAAATTTTTTTCCAAAATATTCCACTTATTAGGAAAATTTTTTTTTCATATTTAATTTAAAATACCAATGTGATAAAAATGAAACTCTTACTCAAGAAAAACAGAAATGAATAATAAAATAAAACCGATGCCGCGCATATAAAGGATTTATAGTGAAAAACTTTGTATTTACGGGTTAATTTTTTATTTTATTTGTATTCATTTAAACTTTTTACCTACGTGACTTTACCGGAAAAAACCTAAGAATAACAACAACAGCAGTAGCTCTGAAGAAATGCGTTTGTCAATTTCGCTGACGATTTAAAAGCTCATCACAGCTCCCCCGGTGGATTTCTAATAATCGGAAGAGCGCGTTCCAGACGGCCACGAAAGCGCCGCGCTGCGAAGACCACCGTCTTTGTCCGACGTGCCAGACAGTTTCCAGCGACGATGGTTCGTGCCCCTTGACGTGACCAGCGAGGAGGCTTAGTGGTTCACGTGGGATCAGCACCTCGAGTGTGATGAGCGCAGCATTCTAATGCATCCGTTCAAAAGGTCAAAGGTCGTCCAGTCCCTGTAGCCTTAACATACTTTTGGGGAAAGTGCTGTTAGCGATTAAGCAGGAGCGTCTATGAAGGCCACCGTGGGGGGAGGGAACGGGTGGGTGGCCAACGCCACCACGCCCACTCAAGACGCACGTACAAAGATAAAGATCCCCCGCATAGCCTTAAACATACTTTCGGGGCAAGTGCTGTTAGCGATTAAGCAGCAGCGTCTATGAAGGCCACCGGCAATGTCGCAACACGGGGGGAGGGGTGGGTGGCCAATGCCACCGCGCCCACTAAAGACGCACGTACAAAGATAAATATCCCCCATATAGCCTTAACAGACTGCTGGGGCAAGTGCTGTTAGCGAGCACCTATGAAGGCCGGAACGGTACACGAGGGGGTGGGTGGCCAGCACCACGCTCGCCCGGTCGTCTTTGTCTCCCTAGCGGCGATGTTCACTACACTACACCGCTACACCAGGTACTCATTTGAGGCTGAGTCGACCGAGGGGAGGCCCAGGACCGGTTCAGATAACCGTCCACGGATGCTGACCGTGAACAGGAATCGAACTCGGGTCGCTGGGTTTGTAGCGTAGCACTGACCAACTACACTACCACACACAGACACACGGACACACACACAGAAACACACTCACACAAACAAACACCAACACACACAAACACACAGAAACACACACAAACAAACACACCCACACACACAAACACACACACAAACACAAAGATCCCCCATATAGCCTTAACAGACTGTAGGGGCAAGTGCTATTAGCGAGCATCTATGAAGGCCGCAACAGTGGCAATGTTTACACACCGCACCAGGTACTCATTTGAGGCTGAGTCGACCTAGGGCAGGCCCGGGACCGGTTCAGATAATCGTCACACACCCACACAAAGACAAACACACCCACACAAACACACACTCGGCTCATTTGCCCGGGTTCACCGCTACTACACTACCGCTTCCCCCCCACACACACACAAGAAGATGCTCACATTTTCCCCTGACTGCCCTGGGTCTGCTCTCCAAGGTACTCCATGACCGTGAAGAGCCTGTGGAGACACGCGGAGAGACGCGGCGGTGAAGAGGAGGCGGCGTTTACGGACATCGTTCGACTGGGGCAGGAATCGGTAGAACGCGAGTCTCCATCGCCCGTCACGACACACAAGTTTCATGTATTAGGCGTAGCCCTGTGAGCCATTCGGCTCTTGAATCGGGTGCAATTGCAACAAACAAAAACATGAACAAAAAAACATCTTAAAGTGAATATGTGGCTGAGTGCAAACAGAAAATCCAAGAAAAGACAGCAAAATTTTGCAGAAAAAAAGGCACCGTGTACACCAACGCTGCGTGCAAAAATCCCAGTGGGATGCAAGTCAAACAACAACAACAACCACATGACAACTTTAAGGCCATCAGTCTAACTCTGCACTACAACAAACATGGCTAAACCATCTTCTTGGTTCTTTCGGTAAAGTCACGTAGAATGGAAATAATAAAATTATAAAAATAAAACATATTAAAATAATTCTCACGACGTTTCGGCCACAACACAAGCAGCCGTCCTCAGGTGAAGGACAGGTCTGTCGATGAGACAGCGTCTAAATGACACGTCCTGGGGTTGGAGTGTCTATTTAAGCTGGGAGAGAGGAGGAAGAGCGCCTTGACAAAAGACTTTGCATATCAAGAGGAATTTAGCATATTTATGGGAAATGCAGATATGCGACTAGTACTACTTGTGAAATGCGTAGGAGGTTTGGCGGGGGGTTTAAAGTCATGTTTTGCTAAACCATGGCTAAACCAATACAATTCTAGATTTGAAGCTTTCGTGACTGCAAGGATTCATATTCTTAGGTTTTTTCGGTAAAGTCACGTAGGTAAAACATTAAAATAAAATAAAAATCACGACGTTTCGATTGCAACACAAGCAATCATCATCAGGTATAAATGAAATAGCAACAAAAAAATTCTAACCAGAAAACCTATAGATGTATCTTGGTGATATCTGTCTGCTTATATGTCTGTCTATAGTTTTTTCCCCTGTACAAGAATACGGAGTATACCGTATGGGTTGACAGCTATGATAGTGTATAGTGTAGGGTATAGTAGTGTATAGTGTAGTGTAAAGTGTAGTGTATAGTGAAGTGTATATTGTAGTATAGTAGTAAAGTGTAAAGTACTGGAGTGTATAGTGTAGTGTATAGTGAAGTGTATATTGTAGTGTATAGTAGTAAAGTGTAAAGTAGTGTATAGTGTAGGGTATAGTAGTGTATAATACTGTATAGTATTGTAGTGTATAGTAGTGTATATTAGCGTATAGTAGTGTATAGTGTACTGTATACAGTACAGTAGTATGATATGTAGTGTATAGGAGTGTATAGTAGTGTATAGTGTAGTGTAAAGTATGCTATAGGAGTGTATAGTAGTGTAGAGGTGTGTATAGTGTACTATAAAGTATTGTAGTGTATAGTGTAGTGTATGATAGTGTGTAGTGTAAAGTATGCTATAGGAGTGTATAGTGGTGTGTAGTTTATAGAACAAACCTGTCAACCCCTTATCAGTGCCCTACCTTCTTACAGACCAATCCAGGCCTTATTGTTCATCCCGTGGTGCCCTTTTAAATATCTCAAAGTCCGGACCGGCACACCCCCCTCACCCCTGCCGCTCCCCGTCACCAAAACCCCGCGACCGATCCAGGCAAGGCCGCAGGGCCCGAGCGCGGCCTACTAGCACCGCGCAACGCGACAACGCTACCGATCGGCGCGGGGTCTTTCCGCGACAGGACACCGGGGCGTTCGGGTCCCCTGGCGCCGCCTCTTCACCCCCGATGAGGAGAGGAAGAGGAGGTGGAAGAGGTGGAAGGAATGGACGACTTACAACTCGGCCCACACACCGCGCTGAGTCTATGACACGTGCCACGACCACAGGGATGGGAGGAAGGCGGATCGATTCCAATCGATTCCTAAGTTAAGACGAAAATTGCGCGCTGTCGATTCCTTCGTCGTGTTGCGATGCGTTGCGAGATTCGGAATCGATCTATCCCGAAAGTTCTGGCCGGTCGATTCCCGCGCGTCGGAAACGCATTGGCGGAGAGAGAATCGGATGGCGGGTAACAGAATCGATTTGTAGGTCGAGGGTAAATGCTAATAAGGCCTTATTAGGAATCGGTGTTGATCACTGGCAGTTTGTATTTAAAGTGAAGGAATCGATTCAACAGGTTGGCCATGCCTCGGGTGGTTGCGTTAAAGGCGCAGCACTGCGAGTGGCCACCAGATGGCACCACCAGATGGCACCAACACCACCAGATGGCACCAACACCACCAGATGGCACCACCAGATGGCACCACCAGATGGGGTACCAACCAGATGGCACCAATACCACCAGATGGCACCACCAGATGGCACCACCACCAGATGGCACCACCACCAGATGGCACCACCACCAGATGGCACCACCAGATGGGGTACCAACCAGATGGCACCACCAGATGGCACCACCAGATGGCACCACCAGATGGGGTACCAACCAGATGGCACCACCAGATGGCACCACCAGATGGGGTACCAACCAGATGGCACCACCAGATGGCACCACCAGATGGCACTACCACCAGATGGCACCACCACCAGATGGCACCACCAGCTGGGGTACCAACCAGATGGCACCACCAGATGGCACCACCAGATGGCACCACCACCAGATGGCACCACCAGCTGGGGCACCAACCAGATGGCACCACCAGATGGCACCACCAGATGGCACCACCACCAGATGGCACCACCAGCTGGGGCACCAACCAGATGGCACCACCAGATGGCACCACACCCAACATGGCACCACCAGATGGCACCAATACCAAGAGATGGCACCACCAGATGGCACCACCAGATGGCACCACTAGATGTCACCACCAGATGGCACCAATACCAAGAGTTGGCACCACCAGATGGCACTACCAGATGGCACCACCACCAGATGGCACCACCAGATGGCACCACCAGATGGCACCACCACCAGATGGCACCACCAGATGGCACCACCAGATGGCACCAATACCAAGAGTTGGCACCACCAGATGGCACTACCAGATAGCACTACCAGATGGCACCACCAAATGGCACCAATACCAAGAGATGGCACCACCAGATGGGGCACCACCAGATGGCACCAATACCACGAGATGGCACCACCAGATGGCACCAATACCAAGAGATGGCACCACCAGATGGCACCACCACCAGATGGCACCAATACCACGAGATGGCACCACCAGATGGCACCAATACCAAGAGATGGCACCACCAGATGGGGCACCACCAGATGGCACCACCACCAGATGGCACCAATACCACGAGATGGCACCACCAGATGGCACCGATACGACCCGAATGTGCCACACCACCAGATGGCACAAATGCTACCAGATGGCACCACGAGATGGCACCACACCACCAGATGGCACCAATACCATCAACCACCATTCGCCACGAAGTGGCGGTGACGTCACCGCGGCGTCTGTGCCAGGCTGGGTGCACCTTGAGGCCACGTGAAGTGTCTAAGGCTCGCTGACAGCAGGTCTCGGGACAGACCCTGCAGGTACCATGGGTTGGCTGACTGAGATGACTGCTAGATGAACCGGCTGTACCTCCTACTGTGCCAACTTGCTGCATTTTAGCTGCCCGGCGCTCCGCTCGTTGTTGTGAGCGTCGCTCCTCTCTCTGCCTTCCATTGTTGCTGGAGGACGACTGCCTCCATCTACCCAGTAGCGTCCTTCATGAGCATTCTCCTCCTCCATAGAGGCAGATCTTGACACCGCCGGTATGATCGTGGCCGAGAAGACCCAAAGATAATTGGTTTTTTACCCTTCTATCTGGCAACAAAACTGACACCTTTTTTTACGAGGAGTCATGTTTGCATAGACCACAATACCTGCAGTCATAATGCAAACAAAAAACACAACTCTGATAATGTATGTACTGTCCTTGAAGTTGATTGGTCCACACCCGAGACAGCTTTCCTTAGAGCCTAGTCTCACATGGTGTTGGTGTCATCTGGTCCAACACCATGTGAGACTAGGCCAGGGTTGCGATTTCCGCATGGAAAATGCGGAAGGAGGGTTCAAATTTTCCCGCATTTTTGCTAAAGTCAACCGCAAACGGTGGAAAGACTACTCCTATGACCGCGCGCTTTTAACAACACGTTAATGCGTTCTATTGGAAAGGATACATGCAAGGCCCAGCATCACGTAGGGCTTTGAGTTACTGATTGGAATGAATATATGATTTCCGCATTTCCGCACAAGAACCACATACTTTATTCAAATGCGGAGCCGTGATTACGAGCACATGTACTTTCACTTCTTCGCATTCTTCCAGCGCTTCATGTCGTCTTCGGCGTGAAAGATGCTGAGTTTTGGCTTGTCGCGGGCGCAAACTATAAGCGCGTTCAACTGCTTGCACGAGAGGAGCAACCACTCCTCGGGCTTGATGTTGTTTTGCAGAGAGAAAGCCCTCTCACAGCCGACCGACCTGTGCGCCAAAGTTTTAATCGTTAGCAGTAAAGTGTATATATTCGCAGGAGGTATAAAGTAGCTACGACAGAGGCAAATGAGCGTACGCTGGACGAGGATATTACCTGAGCGGAAACGCGTGTGTATCTGAGCGTATCGAAAACAGCGTGGGTATCTGAGCGCTTGGCCAAAATTACCAGTGGATTTCCCAACGCGCTGCAATCTGAGCGACGATGAATAGTTTTGCATATCGACAGAATATGAATAAAGAAAATGCTACAGTTTTTTGTTTTTCCTTTGTCGCTACGAGTACTGCGAGGGCTCCTAATGGCAGACGCTAGGAGACATCATGGGGCTGGGCAAAAGGGCCTGAGCACAGCGCCGGGGGTTGCGTCGATCCGGAAAGATGCAACCGTAGGGATTCCTATCGGCGACAAACATGTCAACGGTGGCGTCGTGTACTTGTGGCAAGTGTGCTTCATCGACGGCATCGACAAGTACTTCGACGCACAAGAGCTCGCGGCTCTCATTGATTTTTTCACAGTTCGTGCGCACCAACAACGCTGTCTGAATGCAGGAATCCATAGTTCATATATACATATCGTTTTTTCCAGAAGTCAGCAGAGCCAAATGGGCATACGCAAGATATGTGCGCCAACCGCGCGAGTACGGCACCGAGAAAGGCGGGAATCGAAGTCACGATTTGCGGAAGTCTTCACAGGAATCACCGCAAATTGCGGAAATTTGTGCGGAAGAGGGTCACAGAAACTATCGCAAAATGCGGTCGAAAACAGCATGTTTGCGGAAATTGGTGCGGAAATCGCAACCCTGGACTAGGCTCTAAGGAAAGCTGTCTCGGGTGGGGACCAATCAACTTCAAGGACAGTGCATACATGATTAGAGTTGTGTTTTTTGTTTGCATTATGACTGCAGGTATTGTGGTCTATGCAAACATGACTCCTTATAAAAAAGGTGTGAGTTTTGTTGCCAGATAAAAGGGTAAAAAAAAATTATCATATTTTTTACTGGTAAATTAGGTTCCAATGGTGTATAAGATCCGAAGATTTGTGCGGAGCGGCAGACCAGGTAGCTTCCACACAGCATTACGCAGCCGATGAAAATATATTGCCGCTCGACTGATTTGGAATGAGACCTCTGCTACCAAACCGGAGCTGGTCATGAGCACACTGCCCAGGTATGGGAAACTCTCCACTCTCTCCACAACTGCCCCATCACTAATGGGGAGCTGAGGAGGTTGAGTGTTTGGTGGCACAAAATACCGAGGCAGGTGCTTAGTTTCGATTTAAAGCTTTCGTGACTGCAGGGATTCATCTTCTTGGTTCTTTCGGTAAAGTCACCACGTAGAAGGGAAGTAATAAAATAATAAAAATAAAACATAATAAAATACAATTCTCACGACGTTTCGGCCACAACACAAGCAGCCGTCCTCAGGTGAAGAACAGGTCTGTCGAGAAACGTCGTGAGAATTATTTTATTATGTTTTATTTTTATTATTTTATTGTTTCCATTCTACGTGACTTTACCGAAAGAACCAAGAAAAGGTGCTTAGTCTTCATGGGGCTGATGGTAAGACAACACATCTTTAGTGGCACACTCCAGGTTCAGCATCAGCACACTCCAGGCGTTCACGAGGATGGCACCACACCCACATGGCACCACCAGATGATACCACACCATCAGATGGCACCACCCCAACAGATGGCACCACCGGTGAAGGAATGGCATTCACGTTACAAGATCCTTGGTTAATGACGGCCCAGCCCTCTCACTGCGTATTGGGGCTGCCCAGGGTTAGTGAGCCACATAACAACAACCTTCCCATACCTCTTCTTGATTCTTTTGGTGAAGTCACGTAAAAGGGAAATAATAAAATAATAAAAATAAAACATAATAAAATCATACTCACGACGTTTCGGCTACAACGCAAGCAGCCGTCCTCCCTTCTACGTGACTTTACCGAAAGAACCAAGAAGATGAATCCCTAAAGTCACGAAAGCTTTAAATCGAAACTTCCCATACCTGTCAACCCATACGGTTTACCGCGCATTCTTGTACAGGTGAAATTGAGTTTTCAGGTTCATACCTGAAATACGGGGGAATTTTTTTTGTGAATGTTGTGGTTTCACGCTTCAACACACCGGTGGTGGGCTAAAGCGGTGAACTATTTTGTCTTGTGTCAACGTGACACTTTTTTACTGATTGGCCGTGTCGGGTGGT